ATCAAAAAAATTACTGTATGTTTGGGACATACAAAGGTAAGTTTTCACTAAGTTTCGTGAAAGAATTTTTTTTTGCAAAAAATAAAAATAAGAAACTAAAAACTCGGTTATTCGAATTTTCCACATAGATTTTGAGGTTATGTGAAAAAAGTGTCGATACAAAAGTTGTATTCTTTTTATTACCTACAACTTTGCCATTTAACTTTTTTTCATAGGACTTTCAGTTTTCCCGGAAATCGAGATTAACCATTTTTTACCCTTAAAAACTCACCCCTCCCGCTTCCCGACCTCAGATCGCCCGTAATTTATTTTTTATTTCATTTTTGTTATATTCTCTACCTTTTCTAATGGGTTTCATCCTACTATAATTTTTTTTCACTTTTCACCATTTTTAAAATGATCGACCCTGGTCTATTAAGAAACTTTTTGAGTGAAAAAGCGGGATTCTTTCGTCGAAAGCGGGACATAGTAAAAAATACGTATATAATCAAAAGATTTTTAATATTAATGTTTTCGAGTTCAAATTACGTTTACGTGACAACAGTTAATATCAATATTGTATTGCTTAGTTTCCGTATAAACTTTGACGATGGTATATGATTACGTTGCTGTCATCATGATTGGGCTTGGGCTCGGATCAATCTTTAATAACAGACATAAAGTAGTTGGTATTCGCCCGAATAGCGAAGGGTGCGGGTTCGAGTCCCGTCTGCTGCCTGGTCCGCGTGGATTTTTTTCTAGTAATACATATTTTCTTTACATTTGAACATCAAGCAGTTACATGCTTAAAAAATAAATTAGTAGACAAAGTACGCAAAATCTTTTATGTTAAGAACAAGACGGGTGCCTCAGCTTTGCGTGGATAAAATGTATTTCAACACGATAAAAATATAGTCTTTTTAACCAGAAATAATGCAGCTTTCTACTGATGTTTTTTTTTAAATTAGTTTAGTATATCCAGGAATTAATCCTACAAACAATCTTTTTCTGCAACAATCTCACTGTAGGTACGTACTTAATTAGAGCTTCAATTGTTTCCATTTGGGTTGTAGTAGGTATATATCCACTATCCATCAATGCCCGGACTAGGTAGGTACCTATCAAAGCATAGCTTCGCTTCCAGATTTTATTTATTTCTAGGAGCATTTTTATACAACCGACTAAATAGAAAAGTAAATATATATAGACTGAATTATAAACATGCCAAACTTATTATTCACGATGCCTTACTAAGTAGGTATGTAAGTATGATACGTACGATGGCACAGAGATAGATAATATTAGCGTGACAGAGATGTTGATGTCCTTTTCAAATTAACAGTACCTTATCTTAGAGTATATTTAATTTATGGTACCTATATTATAATGCTCGCTTAAGTTAATTATTGTTTTAGTTTTATATTATAAATTAATATTTTTTATTTTAATTACTGTTTAATATAGTTGTAGAAGACTTTTGCCTGAAACAAAGGTTAACCTATTTCTAGAATTAAGTAATTTATTGTATACTGAAATTCAATAAATATTTATTATTATTATTAAAACTGGACAAATCGATCGTGTTAGGATTTTCTGCCTTTCAGGATGACTATAGAATTTCAGGCGTCGATTGAGTCGGTTTAGTCAGGATTTCGACCTCATGAATTATTAATTAAAAAATGATGACATAGTTAATTTTGCCCGAATTTCGCTTTCGTTTTCACCACACGCGTCGTCGCGACGCGCGCCGTCGCAGGAGGCTAATTACTACAACCGCGGGTCTGGCCTACGCTACAGCGACACGCGAAAAATGTACAGACAACACCTACCTATTTATTAATTAACTAAATGTTAATAATTATTTCGTACACAATTATAATTTACTTGATGGTTAATCACTAATTCCACTGCGTTGGATAACTCGTCTCTATACGAAGTTTCACCTTTTTGAAGTGAAACTTCTTTATCGGCGTTGGAAAAAAATTTACCGTCACATTTTTCGGTTACGCGTCACATTTTTCCGTTACGCGCCATCTTTTTTTATATTAATAGTTGATAGCTGAATGATCACACTGTCGCCGGCGAGAACTCTCTCTACTCGTTTGTAGCTGAGTGACAATAGTTATTAAAGATAAGACTCGCTCAGCCAAACTCGCATACCGTGCGCGTGCATTTTAACTCAGGACTGCCAATTCGTTTCTAGTTTCTACTCGCTTATCGTTCATCGTCGGAGGTGGAACATGTGCCTTAGATTACTGAGCCGTGTAATCATAACAGTTTCATAGGCAGTAATTTGTATTCATGTCTATGATAATAAAATCCTTTTGTTTAAACTTTATCTAATTTAACTTTATTTAAACAATTTCTGGAAAGTTGCATGTAGATCATTTTTCGAAGAATAAGGCCATAAAGAAGTTTCACTTCTTACGTGTGTACACTAGTACACGCACACATTTTTTTTTTTATAAGTTTTTTACCTTTAACAAGCTTCTTATATTCCTCCTTAGACATAATAAAGTTTCCATTTTCCCTAAGTCTCCGGGCCGGTTCACAAGCTTCAAAAGCTCAATAAAGGTCAAGTTCTAAAGAAGCTAAGTATACAACCTTCACAGTCGGAGGCTATCGATCGACGGACGTCTGTGTTTCATGTCCACTGCCTAAGCTAGGTATGTAAGTATAAAAAATTAGTCACTCCTAAAATAAGTTTAAGCACTAAATATTTATAAATGGAAAATTTCATTATGTATTCGCGTATGTATTCCATTATAATATGTAGTTAGACGAAGTACCTAATACAATATATTATGCCAAATCAAATATAACAACATTAGAGTAAAATAATCGTAAATATTTAACCTTAACTGTCGTTACACCCTGGGCCTGGGGGTGGCAGTGCATGTAAAGGGTATATCGTTCTACCTCAATGACACCAGAATGGCTATGCTAAAACGAAGTGATTCCTTGCTCAGTAGCTTATATATGAAAAATGCCAGTGGCAGGTTATCAGACTGTCTGCTAAAACATTATCTGAACTGCATTATAAGGTTAAATATTAGTGCATTCTGTTATTTTATAACTCATTCTTAACATTAAATGTTAAGATATATATAATTTAGTAGGTATATTCAATGAAATAAAGATCTTGCGATTTCGGTCTGGAGTTCGCGATATAAATTCAATTAAAGTATTTGAAGATCGCAAGCATGCATGACGCCACATACGAGTACAGTACTCGCACACCTGGCCTCAGCTCTCACTGCGCTCGGTAATCCTGTTAACCTCTTTCTTTATCCAAGAATTTTATTATACTTCATTTTACCAGTTTACGACCTCCTCCGTACGACCGTACGGCTGTACTTAGATTCGATGGGTCATGAATAAAAAAAACGAGCGAGTTTTACAGTAGTCGCGTCTGATGTGTAACATTTGAAAACTCACCTTATGTTAGTAAAAAAAGAAATAAAACCTATACTACTACAAAAGGAATAAGCCATTTGAACATTATGTTCTAAAATCAAATAGCGCGCGCTTACGCGACTTCCTGTTACACACTTCCGTCCCATTTCACGAAATCACTCCCACAAATTGCAGGAAAGCGAGAGGAAAGATGTTACACATCAAAAGTAAGAATGTAAATAATTTAATAAGTGAAAACAGAAACAAAGAAAATGTTATGTTGCAGCACATTCAGTATTTCTATAAAAACATTGAATGTAAAAAGACTTTGGATAGCGGCCAGCAAGAACGTCAATGAGGTTTCATTTATAAATGACGTAAGTTCGAAAACTGTAGATAACGAAGATAGCACTTTATATCGAGTAAGTATTCATATCTATCGATAACGAATCGTTAACAAAATAGATTCCAATCAAGAGGCAAGGACGCTTATTATCGAACAAGAAATAGTAATACATAAATAAAACAGTAATCACTTAAGTCACAATAAATTTAACACACACAAGCCATGGTACTTAGTTTATAAATGTAGGGTTAAAATGATAAAGAAGAAAACTTTGCTATCCTGGGTGCAATATTTTTTTTATAAATAGCCACAAAAAAGTTTCACATGCGTACAAAATTTTTCATAACATGGTTTGATAACGTGTCTTACTTTTTGTAGTAAGATCGCTAGTATTAATACGCTTCACACCATAATATACCTTTTGAAGTTACTGTGCGCCATCCATAAGTATGAGATAAAACAACGCCACCTTTATTATGAAATGTATTCTTTATGGCGAAAAATATGTTCAGTAACAAACCCAGCACGAGTTTTCTCATTGTGCGGCGAGCGAGTGATGTCACGGTTTACAAACAAGCACAAAGAGCGCGCCCACAACAACCACAAACAATACATCTTCCTTGAATCCTCCATCAATATGTCAATATTGACGGTGACGGCTCAATAATCGACACATCGCTATCATCTCTGCTTCAACAGGTTCTTTTCAACTTTTCACACATCGCTAAGGTCACCTTTTTATGTTAGCTTTTGAAGGCTGAGTAAAAATAGCAGTTTTATGAACACTTATGAGAATGGGTTCCGAAGTTCGAATAATGCCGATTCAGTAACTAAATAAAAACTTCAAAATTGCGCCACACCCTCACATAATAACATCCCAAAACCTTCATAAATAATTAAAAACCAAACCCAAACAAATCACAACTTATTTAGGCAGGGCCAAAGCTTAGAAGTGGTTGTTGTACTGTGGAAACTTAAATTGTATATACAGTACCTTACATATATACACTACTTGTCATTTAACGCCGCCAATGCTGGAGTACAGGCTATTACTATAGATAGAAATACTTAAAGACAACGAAGCATAAACCATAACTTGGGATTATTGTGAATAAGATTCTATAAGGTTAATGCTAGCAGCAGATGGGACCAACAAGGCGAGGTTAACCAGCCTTTGTAGCTCAAGCTCCTTGTTGTAACCGTGTCCCTTGAACTCTTCAACTACTCTGCCTTATTTTACAAGAAGACTGGAACGGACTACTGCTGGGTTAACACTGACCTGTCCCCTGATGGTGAGCTTCTTGCCGTCTTTAGCGAGCAGGTCGCGCACGTCCTCCAGATACAGCTCCACGTAGGAGCAGGAGACGAGATGCGTGACGTCGGGCGAGGCGGAGGTCTCGATGTGCGCCCAGATGTGTCGGAAGGCGCGCGGGATGACCCCTTCGTGATCGGCCGTGCCCTCCATGGTGTGCGTCTTGCCGGTGCCCGTCTGCCCGTACGCGAACACGCATCCGTTGAACCCGTCGAGGACGCTCGCCACCAGCGGACGGACCTGAACAAACATGTAACTACGTAAACATAATGTCCATCGGAAGACTAGCTTAAGCCTCGATGACACGAGGCGAATTTACAAGCTACAACTACTACAAGCCAGCGAGTTCGCTAGCAGCTTATAAACTCGCCCCGTGTCATCGGCTTTTTACCATCTGCTACTCGATGATACGGGGCGAGTTTACAAGCTACTGGCGAACTCGCTGGCTTGCAGCTTGTAAATTCGCCCCGTGTCATCGAGGCTTTAGGCTACTGAACCATCGGCTGTTCCATAGTCTTTGTAAACGTCATATTTTGTATGTTATTTACGTAGACAGTGGCGCCCCCTCAACTGTCACTCACATTTATAATGATCCTTGTCACACTGAAGTTAGTATTTATGTCAGCGTAACCTCGTTAGTTCTTAATGTCATCTAATAATTATATACTAGCAAACCAGTGAACCAAATGTTCACCAAAACCTGATTTCTCGAAAACCGGAAGTGCTACGTTACTCAAATCCGGTTTGTAGTCTTATCAGACTATTCTTAACTTATAACTTAAATATTCTCTTTATCTATCTCTTACGGTTTGGCCGCTGAAACAGCACCACAGACAGACGGACGGACTTGTCTAATAGATAAGAGATTATATCAATATTTCTAACGAATCACTCTTCCATCTGTCTGAGGTTAAGATGAATTGAGGCCGTATTGATGGCTTATTACGTCAGGCAAGCACTGTGGAGTAGCATCCCGCTTTAACTAGTATTTCCTGGCTCGTAGAGTTCATAATACCCTTAATCCCTTATTAATAAACAAGCAATAAGCTTAGACTAGTTACGCCGTGTTTTGTTCATGTCATTAAAAAACCATTTGTCATTCAATAGACAGAGGCAAAACATGGAGTAACTAATCCAAGCGTAGTCTTCGTTTATTAATATGGAGGTTAAAGTGGAAATCGGATGAGCATCACTTTATGCAACAAAGATACAATGACCACAACAGCCAGCTTCACCTTAACAGTTTTTATGATCCCTATGAGTTTCAATGATTACTATTTATGATGCAGAGTCATCATAACATTGTAAAAGAATAAAACAAGTTTCAGCGGTATAGATGCACTGATTTATTTATTTATTGACGTTTCGTAACCTTTTCAGGATGCGTCATCTGAATTATCATTAAAAGCATAAAAGATTGCATCCTGAAAAGGATGCGAAACGTCAATATATAAATAAATCAGTGCATCTATACCGTTGAAACTTGTTTATTTTATTGATTGGTGTGCGTGAAAACCTAAGAAACAAATATTGCAAAAGAATCTTATTCGGCAGCAACTAAGTTTGCCTGATGATAATTAGTGTTCAAAGGACAATGTTAAATTTGGCCTAAGAACCAACACCAATTTGGCATTTATGATAATTCTTAGTATATTTTTTGCGATAATTATCAGTATTTAGATTGTGACGGATACTTCCAGTTAAGTAAGCTATATTAAGAAGTTAAAAAATAATCTGAGACAATAACTACCATTTTATGTGTATAATCTATGACAGCGCTGCAAATAAAACACTGGTAAATAAAACTAGTTTTTACGGGTTAATGCACGAAACTTTATTTATTTATTGACGTTTCGCAGCCTTTTCAGGTCTGCATCGTCAGAATAATGATTTAAAAAAAAAAAAAAAAAAGTGATGTGATTAGTGATGTGCGTGAAAACCTAAGAAACAAATAAAACACTGTTTCTTCCTAATGCCGGCACTTCACTTGGCTATTCGTGTTTGCTATTTGAAAACTTGACATCAGTCTGACCTTTTTATTAGTTATTAAGCATGACAAGGACAGAGTGTTGTCAAGTGAAGTGCCGGCATAAAACTCGATACTCTGTGGTTGTGGTGCAGGCAGTTTGCATTCGTAGTAATCTGCGGCATTCGTGCCGTGCATTCTCGTTTCGGATTATCTGTTGTGTGTTTATTTGCGATTGTTGTTCTTTAAATTTAACTATTTCGGCTATCTAATATGCCATCGATGTTACCAAAGAGCAGAGACCTTATTACCAAGTGCTAGTGAACCTGTGCCACAACATCCAGAGAGGATCATACTGCCAAATTATTCAAGAGCACCTGATACACATTCACGCTGCATATTTATACAATATACATATTGTGCTATACAAATAAATTCAATATATAATATGATACAATTATGTGAAAAATAGTCAATAAATAAGAAGCAAAATTACAGTTTTTATTTTATTCATGATACCTACCTAACCAAGTTTTTCCTAATAGTTATTCTTTAAAATCGAACCGAATAAAAATGAATTAGTACTAATATTAATTCACTTCATACTGAGTTCATACTAAGTTCATAGGTTGACCTATGTTTCATTTAATATTAAACATAACCTCAAAAAATATTTATTTTGCCTGATAATTTAAGTTCTCAGAAGTGTCCGTCAATAATCTTTGTTTTAACAGTCATTTACTTGCAATTTCGAACCTAGAAAATAATATTTCATGATTGTTGGTTCCTAGGCTAAAAATGTATGGACGCAGAACAATGTCCTTTGATTAGGGTATCCTTTAAGCTTTAAGTAATAAATATCAATAATTTGCATTATTTCGCCGTCTCCCGTATAGCATGGGAATCGGACAACTTGGTTGTCAGAACGTTCGCGTTGGCGTTGCTACGCGCCGGGTCGCGTGTCATTCATATGTTATTGATACTTACGCTACACTGACTCGTCAATCTTTCAAGTTCACACTTCCATATTAATAAAGGAACTTTGATTAAACGTAGTTTTTTGTTAATATTATCTTGTGAGAAGTATTATATCTACATCTTGAGACTGAACGAGGTCATAATTTGCAGTAACATTTAAAAATTAAATTTATGTGCATCGGAAGTGTGCATTAATGTATCTTTAAAAACTTTTTATCATTAATGATTGATCATGTACGATACATACCAATTCCATTCCAATATGGCAAACCTTGAAATAATAATGTTGATACAAATTTAAGAAATAATGAAACCATTTCATTATTTTGTCAAAGCGTGGCCTTGTTAACGAGGTTAGAGCCAATTATTACAGTAAATTCTTTCGTAGTTTGCGTGGAAATGTTTATGTTTACCCTCAAACATTACATATATAGTGATTAATAAAGGTTTGAGAACACTGAATGAAATCTTATAAACGTTTCGTTTGAAATAGGTACCTACTCAGGTTTAGGATTTTAAAATCCGAAATTATATTGCTAAAAACTAGCAGTACAGTAAAACGACAGCAAAATAAATGAAGCTACGTTTTTGTTGTTATTCTCTCATATTCATCCTAAAAATAAATTATCTTGGACAAAACCAAAAACCCGAAGGAGCTCATGTTATTAATTGATCACCCATCAATGGATCGGCTTTTCCTCTAAAATCACTTATGGTTCGCAGATCAAACGTGCCATCAATCTTTTAACTCATCAACGCAAACAACATACTTACAGATTTTATATTTTACGTTAATCTGCACTCACGCTAGATTTGGAATTCTATTGAGCAAGACATATATGTAACATAGGAAGCAGATGATAAAGCAAAAACAACACAAGACGACAAAAATAACTGAACCCTAACTGTTATAAAAAGATTCCTCGCTAAGACCTTGTTCAAAATCATCATACTCGTCGGATTATTATGACTAATAGGGCTTGTGGAGATTAAACTCGTATAGCATTGAACGTGACATGAAGTTACAAAAAACAGTAGCATATAAGAAACATAACTTGCGCCTACTTTTCCGATTTTTCTTTTTTTTATGTTACTAGCGGGTGGCCGCGACTTGGTCTGCATGAAACATAGGTTTCTCATATATACAAACTTCCATCTCCGTTCTCTTGTTAAAAGATGACATATTTTTAAATGTTCGAGAAATCCTTGAAACATGCCTCACCCACCGGGAGATCAGACGGGAATATTAAAGACTTCTGATCCCAAGTAAATACCAAACAATACTCCTGCCACACATCAGCACATAATTTGAAGACCTAGTTATCAAAAATGTAACCCGGCGGGTGGGTCGATAGTACGCAACCGGACTCTGAACGATGAATGAAGGGTTTAGGTCCAGAGTCCAGTTGAGGAGATATCTGATGCGATAGATTACTTGGATGTAGTCTTCAGTAATATGAAGAATATGTCAGAAGATGCGAGCACTGATTTGAGTGAAAAATCCGCTATGCTCTATCTCTTCGCTTTGCACTTATAGATAGACTTAAGAAGTCTATTCGTCCAAAGAGGACCTAACATGTCCGGAAACAACAGTGACATGCTGTCAGCTGATCGCCCCTCGTCCGAATTATCACCTAAAGTACTTCGTCTAAGTCCAGCATGAGACTTGTTACCATGATATTATAAACAACTTATCAATTTATTGAAAAAGATCGCTTGTATTAGACGCCGACCTTATCAGGTGTTGCGCGATTAACTTTAGGATATCGAAGATAGGAATTAAGTGAATCTGTTACACTTACGTTAGTAACACAACTGCTTCGTTTGTTATTCTAAAATGTCTTATATTGTTTTGTTTTAGACAAAGCTTTAGTCTGAAGAATATTTTTACTAAGGTAAAACAAGCCAGCATATTAGATATCCAAATGCCTGATCCCCTTCCTCTTCCTTGTCAAGCTATGGCACCGCATTGTAGCAATATAACACCCCAAAACCATACTGGCCGAATTGAGAACCTACTCCTTTTTGAAGTCGTTTAAAACATAGAAATGAAATATAAGTATTTAATGTAGAACAGCCTAATATACATTATGTTGTAGGACCTTCCCAACGTATGATATCATTCGCTTCTTGTCCATCCAAATAACCATCGTAAACTTAGTGCATAATACACCTGAAGAGAGCCGCGAGTGACGTCACACCAGTGCCGGCGTGGTGTAGCCTTGACAGCGTTCCGACTGTACATCGACAACAGCTGCTACTACTAAATGCACACTATCGTGAATTATTTCAATGA